GGAGTTCCTACACTCTATGCGGAAGCGGCATGGCAAGAAGGGAGGCCTAGTGATGAAGATTGATCTAGAGAAGGCTTATGATAGGCTTCGATGGGATTTCCTTCGAGATACTCTCGTTGAGGTCGGATAGCCAAGTTCGTGGATCAGGTGCATCATGTACTGCGTGGAGAAGAATGCTATGCGCATCCTCTGGAATGGAGAACTCCTGCAACCCATCACTCCTTCTCGAGGAGTCCGCCAGGGAGATCCGCTTTCACCCTATCTTTTTGTGTTATGTATGGAACGGCTATCCCATAGGATAGACCGGGCAGTACAGGATAAGCAGTGGAAGCCGGTCAAGCTTTCTCCAGGAGGTCCGGCGCTAACCCATCTTTTTGTTGCAGATGACCTGGTCCTCTTTGCGGAAGCGGAGAGTTCTCAAGTTCGGATCATCAGGCAATGCTTGGATGAGTTCTGTGCTAGCTCCGGTCAACGAGTGAACTTCAGCAAATCACTCCTCTATGTCTCTCCGAACATCGGCCATGATAGAGCTCAGCGGCTTAGCGATAGAGCAGCTATTCCTCTGACTAAAAATCTCGGGCGGTATCTTGGAGTGCAGGCTATTCATGGGATAATCACCAGGAGCAGATATCATCCTCTTCTTCTGCAGATTCAAAAGAAACTCGCGCCCTGGAAAGCTAAGCGTCTTTCCCTAGCCGCAAGGCTGACTGTGGCTCAGTCTGTCTCTCTTTCCATTCCCACTTACTCTATGCAGACTGAGCTGATTCCCATGAATGTTTGTAAGTCTATTGATAAGATTAACAGAGATTTCATCTGGGGGGAGAGCGAGCAACAAGGAAGAATGCATCTAGTGGCCTGGGAGAAGCTTTCCGAGCCCAAAAGCCAAGGTGGAGCAGGCCTCCGGCCCCTGCGTCAGGCAAATCTGGCCCTTCTAGCCAAAGCGGGCTGGCGTTTGCTGCAAGAGAAGGACACTCTCTGGACTCAACTCGTTCGAACGAAGTACGGGCGTCAGAGGGAAGGGCTTGATATCCTTCGGCCTAAACAGGGAAGTTCCTTTGCCTGGAGAAGCTTTACCAAAGCTTCTGACTTACTTCGGCAAGGTTGTGCGTGGAACATACATAATGGGAAGGATACTAAATTTTGGTGTGATGTTTGGTTGTCGCAGGTTCCGCTGGTGGAGCTGGCGCTTGCACCGGTGCCGGAAGAGATGCTGGCCGAGCCGGTGGCCTCTTACCTGAAGGAGGACGGAAGCTGGGATTTGGATCGTTTGTACACCTGGCTACCGTTGGAAATTCTTCATAAGCTCACCGCGGTGGCAGTGGATCCCGACAGTATCGAGAAGGACACTTTGTTTTGGACAGGCTCCTCCAACGGTGTGTTCGCCACGAAGTCGGCCTATCTCTTGGCGAACCCTCCTCAAAGCGACCCCCGGAAAAAGCTTTGGAAGAAGATTTGGAGTCTCCCTGTGCCAGAGCGGATCCGATGTTTTGTGTGGTTGGTGGCTCTGGGCAAGATAGCGACCAATCAGATGCGGGTGTTGAGGAAGTGTGCCACGTCGGCTGACTGCTATCGCTGCCCTGGGACGCCAGAATCTATTAGCCATATTCTCCGAGAGTGCCCGATGGCGTTGTTCTTTTGGAGCAAGTTCGTCCCTGCGGTTGATCAACAGGAGTTCTTCTCCTCTTCCACGGAGGCCTGGCTTTACAAGAATCTTCTCAAAGAGGATGCGTTGGCGTCCGGAATGAGCTGGAATGCCTTTTTCAGCATGGCAGTCTGGTTGTTGTGGAAAAACAGATGTTTGGGATGCTTCAAGGGAGTCTTTGCAACTCTTTCGGCCCCCTCCCTAGCGCACTCGATCCTTCACAAAGCGGACCTGTGGCACAAGGCTTGGTGTGCGCCCACACTTGCCCCTGGTAAGCCTCATCGTGATATCACTCGAAGAGTGGAGCGTATTCAGTGGATAGCCCCTCCCCAAGGGTGGCTGAAACTCAACGTGGACGGGGCCTCGGCTGGAAATCCCGGTGCGGCAGGAGTTGGAGGGCTGATTCGCGATGAGCACGGTAAATGGATTACTGGCTTTGTGGCCAGGATTGGGGATTCATCGGCGGTGTTGGCTGAGTTATGGGCCATCTTCCACGGCCTTAACATAGCGTGGCGGCACAGGTGTGTTAACTTGATTGTCGAGTCAGACTCGCAGCAGGCTATTCAGTTGATTAAGGATCGCCAGGACCCTATTCACCCTCACACTGCGTTGCTGAATTCGATCCGGCGGCGCATTGAGCAGGATTGGTTGATTAACATTGTTCACACATACCGGGAAGGGAATAGAGCCACGGACTGGCTCTCGAAGCACAGTCTCGTCTATCCCTACGGTATGCATGAACTTGTTAGTCCTCCTTCCGAGCTCGATATTGTGCTTCAGGAGGATAGCCAGGGGATGTCTTTTGAGCGGCGAGTTGTGGTTCCCCCCGAGATTTAGTTCCTCTCTTTTCACCTCCACCTGTTGTCCTCTTTTTCTTGGCGTTAGCCTCCATTAATGCAAAAAAAAAATATGTTATTTCAACACCTGCAGTTGCAATTGGTAAAATCAATTACTTTGAGAAGCAAGTAAACCAATGGATATGATAGAATGGAGGGAATAAGGATAACCCGTAATCAGGTTCAATTGTCAGATTTTCAATATAATTGGGAGAAGGAATATCATTTTTACTATTAAACTAGTGTTTAAAATACAATAACAAATGAGTTGTGGTCTAATAAAAAACATGTTTACTAATAATCTTAGTATCCTAATTTAAATCACTTAGTCTATCACTTATATTTTTTATCCACGCGAAAACTACTGCCGGGGCTGAATAAGCGTTATCCCAAATTATCCTGTCTCCACCCCTGACTATAGGGGCAGTCCCTTTTATTATTGAGCATCCCTTAACCCAGGACAGTATACTAACTGGCCGATTCGGTCGGCTTGAATTGGACGGGATCATCGAATCGAACCACCCGCGTCCTTTGACCTCTTCCTCAAGCTGCAGAAAGGAAAGGAAGTCCCCGGAGTTTGTGGCGAGATTGAGATTGCAACTTGCAAGCGGCTCCATCTCCATGTGCCGGGGAGGGAAATTAAGGAAGACTTGACTTCGCCGGCAAGCAAGTCTACGTCTTCATTACCATCTGTACCCACGCCAAGGACCATCGATCGGCTGGCATCTAGCTAGAAGCTTAAGCAAATGCTTATTAATTGTATCAATAATTAGAAATTCAGGAACTGTAAAGTCAAGTCTGCAACTTAACTTTTCCCGGAGGACGTGGAAAAGAGAGGGGAGGCAGGCTGGGGCAGCAAGCGCTGGATGTGGGCTAATGGCCTGTGGTGCGAAGCTTCAGTAATTAAAGATGTATATATTATTGTAACGGCATGGAACTTACTTTCTGCGGTTGTCTTCAGCCATTAATATGCCCCCCAAGCTTTAATCCACATGGTTTTACTCATCCTTGGTGACCACGATCGATCACTATCAACCAACCTACTTCTCTATGCTCTTAATTTTTCCGACCCGACTTGCTGGCTGGGTAGCAACCCTTAAACCTGTCACAAACTATTTATTCAAGAATGCCATGCATGGTTGGATGCGAAAAGACCCGATCTGCTTCCCTCGACTCAGAAAAACATATAGTTCGATATTCTAGTAGTTTACTAAACAGTCGAAGTTGAGGTAAGTTTTATTCAACTTGCGAGACTTGCAAGTCAGTTTGACTCCATGGGTTGTTGGGATTAAATTGTGAGCTTGACGGGATAGTGTGACAAGTGCGCCAACTCGACTAGAGACTCAATTATGAGTGAATCAATATATGATTTATGAATTGGTTTGTTGATAATTGATATATTTTACCATATATAATAATCTAAAGTACGTGAATAATAGTTCTAGTTTATAATTTGAAAGAGAAATTAGGTGTCATACCGATGGAAACCCAATTCTTTGGTTTTATCATAATAATTATTATTACTATAATTAGGATATTATTAGATATGGTAAAAGTCATTGAGTCATATTAGGATAGTCTATTAGGTTTTTCTAGTCTTTCGCTATAAATATGTAATTGGTCCTTCATTCATAATCAATCAAGAAGAATATTAAGAAAACCCTCATAAACCCTAATTTCCCTATCCTCTCAATTCTCATTCTCAATCTTTCTAAAGGCCTAGGCCGATTCTCTATCTTTCTCTTCTCAAATCCCTAATTCTGTTATTAATTCCTAAATCCCAATTCCCGATAAAACCCTAATCCCAGGTTCTATCATTTGGTATCAGAGCCATGATCACAAATCTGAGTTCATCACAACTCTCATTAGGAAATTGTTATCAAAACCTCTATCAAGGGATTGAAGCCCCCCCAAGCCAGCCTAGCAAAACATGAATCTAACACGAAAGTTCACCACAACAATATGATGGCAAGCCTCGCAGAACTTCTAGCCAAACTTGAGGAAATTAGGGCCCGCCGCCGTGCGACCAACATCCATCCAGAATCGGTGTCGGCAGATCCGACAGAGGTGACTGCGAATGATGGCTTGGCAGTCACGGAGGAGGCTGCGGACGTCGAGACTACAGTGGTAGATGGAGTTGGCGTCGAAGACGCCGCTGACAACCCGAACCTCATCACCACCGAACAGCCAATCACCGTCAAAATTCCCAGGAGCCGATCGTCACCGACAGCAACAGCGGAAAGCACGCAGATCGAGGAACCCGCTACTATTGTCCTGTCGCTGACCGCTGCGGCTGGAGAAGAAGAGTCCTTAGTTGCGACAAGCAATCCAGACCTTGTCGCCGAGGCCGGCGACGGAAGTCTCCTCGTGCATCGCCGGAGACGGCTTCGCCTCGTGGGGAGGCGCGGTCGGGGACGGAACGCGACCCGGTCCTCTCCCTTGTTCCCGGAGAGGTGAGAACGATGCCGGCTAGGGAGAAGAAGGCGAAGGGCGACGGGGAGCCTCCTCGTGCGTCGCTAGAAATGGAGAAGGAAGACGGAGGCGGTGCGTCTCCTCGTGCACCGTTGGAGAAGAGGGAATCGCCGGCGAAAGCGGCAGCGGCCAGCGAAGAAGTGACGCCGGAGAAGACGTTGGCAGCAGGGTCGGGTGGCCGCCGAACTCGCCGCTCGCCGGCGGGGGTGTCGAAGAAGGAGGAGGATGTTGGTGGCGATGTCCCTCCTCTCGCAAAGCTGAGGCCGCCAACCCTAGGTTGCGGGTTTTGTGATGGGCCGAGTGCAGCGCTCCGGGTGGGCCGAGAGAAGAATCTGAGTGGGGTTTCCTTGGGCCTCACTGATCAACGAAGTGGACTGCAACTTGGAGTCAAGTGGGCTGAGCCTGAGAGTTATAACGGGCCTAAAAAGGAGTCTTATGGGTTGTATAATCTCATAGCAAAAAGGCAGGATATATTGGGCTTCACCAGCACAATCGGGCCGCGACTTTTGGATAACGTTGGGCCCAAGAGTGGTCTGGTTGAATATCTTGTATATGGTGTGGGCTTGATTATGAAGGTAGATGAAATTGAGGGCTTAGCTAATGGACTTTCAAGAGCTCATGGTCCAACATCATTTGGAGAGTTAACCAAACACGTCAATGGGGTTCGCCTTCAAAGAGGAATCAGGCTGCCAACGAAATTGCATGGGCCATCTTGGACTGAAGCTAAGGAAGTGGAAGATGGGTTTAATGGAATTGTCAAAGGCCCAATCGTAAAGAATACGAGATTGAAGAGGAAAGTGACGTGGTTTGTTTAGTGGAATTGGCCGGAGTAGTATTAGACTCATGGGTCCGTGGTCACGTAATCCGCGATGTGGGCAATGAATCGATGAAACTGAGAGATGATAATGTTGCACCCGTTCGTGATCCAGAGCATGATTGGAAGAAACGAAAGCAGAAGAAACGGAAGAAACAACTTGTGTGTGACACAAGAAGAGCAATGAAATGGGTGAGTCGGTCAACCTTGAGGGGCAAGGTTGGTCTCAAGGGGGAGGGGATGATGGAAACCCAATTCTTGGGTTTTATCATAATAATTATTATTACTATAATTAGGATGTTATTAGATATGGTAAAAGTCATTGAGTCATATTAGGATAGTCTATTAGGTTTTTCTAGTCTTTCGCTATAAATATGTAATTGGTCCTTCATTCATAATCAGTCAAGAAGAATATTAAGAAAACCCTCCTAAACCCTAATTTCCCTATCCTCTCATTATCATTCACAATCTTTCTAAAGGCCTAGGCCGATTCTCTATCTTTCTCTTCTCAAATCCCTAATTCTGTTCTTAATTCATAAATCCCAATTTCCGATAGAACCCTAATCCCAGGTTCTATAGGGCTGGAAGTTCGGTACCGGTATTTGGGATATACCGAATACCGTACCGAATTTGTCTATATTTGGTATTACTGAATACATGTATTATTTCTTGGGATTGGGATTGGGATTTGATTTCAATTGTTATTCGGTATTAGGGATTACGGGATTGGGATCGGTATATACCGAAATACCGAAATATAAGTTAGTGGGTATTTTATCCTCTCAACTAGACTCTCTCATTCACTACTACACGACCCTCAACCAGCAATTTATTGTTATTTTCATAACACCAAAAAGCAAACACTAGTATTAGTCTTCTCTCAGTCTCCAATTCGTCAAATTAAAGATTACCAATGACAAAACCTTGAAATGTCACCTCTCCACCATTCTCCTTATCTATATCCTAGCTCTAACCAAACTCTTTGCTTAGTCTCTTTGTCCTATATTAAACAATCAAATTTAATTTATATATTTAATTATTAATTGTAATGGTAATTAATTTCATATTTCATAATACCGATTGGGATACCGAAGTACCGATTGGGATACCGAAATATTTAGGGATTGTGATTGAGATACCGAAATTATTTAGAGATTGAGATTGAGATTGGTTTTAAGGTGTAATTCGGTATTCGCGATTTCGGCATTTGGTATTGGAATAACGATACCGTACCTATTTCCACCCCTCTATCACATACATTTCTTAAATGTTAATTGTTGTTAAATAGGATTATGTGAACTAGTTAAAAAATTTGAACTAAATAGTGTTATACCAACAAAACATATAAATATGGGATCAATTAGAGTTAATAAATTATTTTAGATTGTAATTTAAAGTTCAAATCATTTAGACTCATTAATGAGCTATAGTTTACCTCATTAATAAGTACACACTTTGACTTGTAAATAAGTGGAGTAGCGGATGGAAAAGAAAGACAATATGATTAGGGATGACAATCATACTCATGACTGTGGGTACCTGATCATCCTCGATCCAATCAACGTGGGGAATCCTTACTTTGACTAGGAAGAGGGTGAGTATGGGTAAAACTTATGTAACCTAATTCGCCTACACAGCTTCTACGGTCCCGCTCTAATTCGCCAAAACGTGATTTTTTTGCAGAGCATCCATAATTCGCGAATTGCTTAGTATGAGAGCGCGACTTTGTGGCGATCTGTCTTTTTCGGCGGAATTGGCCGGGGAAAAGCCTCTGTAACATCACCATATGCCACCGCCATCTCTTCCTATCGTCGCTGATTCTAACCATCGCCGATGTCCTTATCCCAGTTCACAGCATCGGGGGTAGATGTCTGCCCTCTACCAACTCGCCGGTTGCTGCCATCCTCGCCGCTCCAGCCATCATTGGCCAGCCATCTCTATTTCTATCCCAGATTGTCAGATTCCCTGACGCTCGCAACCCAAGTCGTCGCTGATGCAAGCTGGGAAATTTAAAATCATATGTTTAATGGACTAGGTTTTTTCGGAGAGAGCAGAGAGCTATCTGAATTTGGGGGAAGAGAGAACGAGAATGGGTTCTGGACTCCTGGTTGGGTTTGGGCCGGGGATAAGGATTTTTTGGGGAAAAAGAATTTCAATAAGTTTTATTGTTTCTAGCAATTTTACATAGGATAACTAACGGAAGGGTGGTTGGTTACAAAGTTTTAAAACAAGTATAGTTCAAGTGCCAAAAAAAATGCAAGATGTATAATTGAGAAATTGACGCTTTGACACTAATGTTCTCGCTCTCGCTTTCCGCTCTGGTTATCTAAGGCAAAACCTACAAAAGGTTTGATGGGTATGGAGCGGGTATGGTTTTAGCATCTCCCGCCTCATACCATACCCATTTCTTCACATATAAAAAAATTCATTTAACAAATTGTAACCTTTAATGATAGCGAGGATAACTCATGAAAAAAAAATAGTAGAAATGAAATGGAGTGGCCACCCAAATCAAAACTTAATTATTTTTTCTCAACTCTCCTTTACTCTTTCATGTTTTCCCTCGTGTTAACAAGATTATATTAGTTAGCTATTACTTAGTAATGTATCAGAGTCCGAGAATAATGATTTGGATGACATCGTACTCTATCTTATGAATTCATGGATGTTTTAGGATAAGATGCTTTGAACCATATTAAGAATGACAGTTTCTTTGTCGACTTCATGATATAGTAGGTGTGTTTAATGTTATTATTGAAAATTTACATGTAAAATTTTAAGAATTTTAATGTTGGATGTACGGGGCGTGTATTAGCCATGTGTATCCGAAACCCACAGATATGAGAATGGTCTTGCAAAACCTTCACTCACATGGGTATGGAGCGGATATTGGTTTAATATTTGAAAACGGGAATGACGAAGATTTAGACAAATCCGCCCAAAATCCTCCCATTGTCAATATATGACCAAGCCATTCCTTTTCTAGCTTTATTCATATTGGGCTTGAGGTCCAGTTGGCAAGTATTTAACGGGCTTCTCGTAATTTTGAGCTTCATATTATATTCCATTTAAGTTCGAACTTAGGTCTGCTGGGCCGCTGCCTCTGTCTCCTTTCACAATTGGGCCTTCTCTTGTTACCTTTTCAAGCTATGTCATGTTTTTATTTTAGAAGGTCCAGTTTGGACTTGGATATATGTTTCCAAATCTGAAACTTAGACTGTTTTTCCCCTTGGCCCTTGCCCTCTGTTCATGAGAAGAGGGAATAAAATTTTGGAGGACAAAAATGAGAATGAAAAAAATATTATTTCACAATAAAATTATAAAATATTGGATAGAGGGATGAGAAGTAATTTGATAATAGTTTAGGTTAAAAAATTACCATGACTCCAATAATTGAGTTATTGGTTGGAATGATATATTGAAAGAAAGAAACCCGCCGCATGCCCGTGTACTGCACACACAGACTCCTTTTACTGTACAACGTGACTGAGATCTACTGTTTCAAACTGGCGTGTCCTTCGGTGTGGGATGTTGTTGGGTGAGGCCTCATTGGGATCGGGCGGGGTTTGGGGGCTCGGTCGGGGTGGGACTGGTCGTTGGCTTCTGGTTGGCCTTAGTTGTGGTCGTTTGGTGGCCCCGGCTCGCGTTGGTCATCAGAGATCGATATTTGACTTTGGCCCAAGTGGGCACGCCGAACGAGGGTTTCGGTTGCTCTGTGGGTGTTCTGCTGGGTAGGGATCTTTGAGTTGTGGGCGATCTGGCTGGTTTGGGAGAGACTGTGCTTGGAGATGGGATAACTCAGAGATGGTGGGCCATGAGAGGGACTGAAAAGTTGATTGAAAGGAGTTGTGTTGCTCAGTATCTCTGCATTGGGGTCGTTTGGTGGCTCTGACGCGCGTTGGTCATCAGAGATCTATATGCTGCTTTGCCACAGGCGGGTGTGTGGATCGAGGTTTATTCAGTTGCTTTGGGTTGCTCTGTTGGGAGATCTGGCGGGTTTGTGGATGTGTGGATCAGAGTGACATACCTGGACAGTGGAGAGGTGGGTCGTTCGAGAAACAGAAAAGGGTTTTCTAGATACAGAGAGATACATTGACATACTTTTTCTCTACTGGATGAAAAGACCGGTTTTGGGTGCCTCTGGGAGGGATTGGAAAGTCCTTGCGTTGTTCGACGCTGAGAGAGGCTATTACTGTTTTGTGCAGGCCAGGCCATTAATTACTTGAGAGGATCTGTTCCTTTTCTTTTTCTTCAGCTTGGACCTTAAAGAAACTTTGCTTCTCTTTACCATGTTACTCTCTCCCCTTTTGTTATTCACCTCTCCGCCTGCTCTCTCTCCCTCTCGCGCCCTCGGTGGTCTATCTGCGTTGGGAATTCTCGCCTCTCTTATTGGGAGAAGGGCGGAGTTGAAGGTCACGAAGAAGAAGGTTTGAGAGATCTGGAGGAGATCCAGACACATTGGAGGACAGTTAAGAGGTCTGGAAAAGAGCCAGTTTCACAGGTTTTGTATTCGTCCCAGCTGATTTATCCGTCTATCTATGTTTAGTTTGCTTTTCTCTTTTTGCGAGTCTCTTAATCGTTTGGATCCTGTTTTCTGTTTGTAATTGCAGGTAGTTGGAAGGCTATTTTGTGTTCAGTTTGCTAATCATAGTATTTGCCAGTAACCTTTGTTGATCATCATAAAACTTTAGATGCTCATTAATCAGGGGATTTGATCCATCGTCAGGAATCTCCGATTTATTGATATATCACATCTTTCTTTTCATCTTTTTGTTTTTGTGATTGTTGATGATTTTCGGAATCTTAAATCAAGGATTTTTTATGGGTTGTTTGGATCTGATAGGTTTTTTGTAATTTAGATGAGGATGAAGGGGTTGATTCGATGAGGATTGAGGAGCCCGCCATCTGCTGTTTCCCTGCACCAGTGAGGATGAAGAATGCGCTGTCTGTTTGCGCGTACTTCTGACCAGTATAGAATACTGACTGTACAGATCCGCAAGT